AGAAAATAACAAGCGTTGGTGAGACTGTGTAGTAATTGGAACCCACGTGCGCTGTTGGAATTGTAAAATTGTACAACCATCATGGAAAACCGTATGGAGTTCCTCAAAAAATTAAAAATGGACCTACCATATGATCCAGCAATGCCCCTTCTTATGTATATATCCAAAAGAATTGAAAGCAGAGTCTTAAAGAGATATCTGCATACCCATGTTCATAGCAGCACTATCCACAATAACCAAGAGGTAGAAGCAACGCAAATGTCCATTGATAGATAAATGGATAAACAAAATCCTGTCATATGCTATAACATGGATAAACCTTGAGGACACTATGCTAAGTGAAATAGGCCAGTCACAAAAAGACAAATAGTGTATGATTCCACTTACATGAAGTAACTAGAGTAGTGAAATCTACAGAAAGTAGAATGATGGTTGCCAGGAGCTGGGTGTAGGGGAAAATGGGGAGTTGTTGTTTAATTTCCATAGAGTTTCAGATTTGAAAGATGCAAAGTTCTGGAGATCTGTTTCATAACCATGTGAATATTCTGTATACTTAACACTACTGAACTGCACACTTAAAAATGTTTAAAATGATAAATTTTATGTTACGTGTTTACCACAATAAAAAAAATTTAATGATAGTGATTCCAAGTAAAAGGAAAATAAAACCTTAAGTATCAAATAAACTCATGCTTGAGAAAAAACAAATATAAAATATAGCACCTATATAAAAGTATTCAAATAGCCTTTAATTTAGCCTTCGTCTAAACAAAATGTAGTTTTAAAAAAGTCACTCAAGGTTATATGTTCAAATTATGTATTAGAAAGCTCCTGCTATTCATAAATTATTGTTTGCTCAGTCACAAAGTATTTCTGCTAAAAGAGAAGCATAATTCTAGAACTGGAAGAGATTCTTTAAAAAAAAAAAAAAAAAAGTCCCAAGTATTCTGAGCTTCAATGAAAGAGATCCTTGAGTGACCCTACCACTAAATCCAACATGGGTCCACAATGGCAAAATGACAAAAATAAGGAAATGAAAGTAGTTTTTCATAAAGCCAAATCTGTTTAATTTTAATTTTGAAACAACATCTTTACTATTAATACTTTGATGATGCTGAAAAGTTCTCTTCAATGGTACAAGTATTTACCCATTCAACAGATTAGTGTCTGTTGAGCCAGGCACTGTCAGGATGTACAGAGGTACAATGGTACACACAACAAGCAAGGATCTCACCCTCAGAAAACTACCTAACTTAAGAGTAGAATGTAAGAGTAGCAGTAAAGAGAGATAAAAGACTTTTGTTTTTAAGCCCTTAACACTCGAAACAAAAAGCTGGTAACCATATGTCACCCAGTGTCAGTGGGAAACAATCTCCAACCTCTATTTTATAAATGAGTAATTGGGTGTCTAAAAGGGCCACAACTATTCAGTAAAACCAAAGCCAAAATCACTTTGTTTCTAGACACTAATTAAAATACCAGGAAAATATTCATGTGCCTGAGATCTGACCATAAAATTTACAGGACCCCAAATATCTCCAAGAGCAACATTTTTCCATTTAACATGCCCTTCTATTAAACAGTGCTCACAGGATTTGATTCTATATATCCAACTTGTTATATCATCTGAAGACTTACAAGTTTAATGAAAATTTTAAATCCCTAAGGCAAAATTTATCAAGTCTCACACTGACAAGCAAATCCAACATGTAGAACAGGAGCAAGGAATTGACGCTTAAAAATAGTACCCATATTGATTCTGTCTTGGTCATTGTTTCTGTGGCCTAGAAAGTACAGTAATTCTCTGGAGCATTGCTATTTCATTCACTAGAAGTTTCAGAAGGTTTAAATATACAAAGCAATTGAAAAACAGTGATAATCAGCTAATTAACATTTCAAAGAATAACAAAACTGTAATTCCAGTGAATAACTGAGGTTTGCCAATAATTGACCTGACAGTTCAGTCTCTTCCCTCACCTCCTCCCACCTTTCTCTACTTTTGTACAAAGACAGGATATGAGGCACCTGATATGTGCCAAGACATTCAATCTGTATACATGTTCTCATGGTTCAAAAAGTTTTTTCAAACCACTTAAAAATAAGCCCACATATAACACAAATTTGGAGAAATAAACTTGAAGCAGATAAAGCAAACTGGCAAAAAAGTTAAAGCAACTTGCCTACATAGTAAGTATAAAAGCCAAGAATTCAACCTAACTGCAAAGTGTGTAGGGCTTTTACTTTGCCTTCTTCACCTCCTTCCTCTGAGTCTGTCATAAACACCTAAATACAAATCACTGGACAGGAGAGAGAAGGTGAAGCGAGAGGAATAAAAAAATGTGCAAAAAACAGTATTTTCCGTAAGAAGTTTATTTTTTATATATATATAACAGAAGAATCAGACTGATATAAAAACTGCACTGAAAGGAGTTATAAGTACCTTATGACTAGAACAAAGGGTTACAGAGGATCAGAGGACAAAGAGAACTTTTTGCTGCAGAAAGCAAGGAAAACTTCACCGAGGAGGGAGGGAGTTGAGTTAGACCCTTAAAGAAAAGTATATTCTAGGCAAAAGGAACTTAAGGGAGCAAAGGTAAGGAAAAGAGGAGGAAGATATAGGGCATATCTGAAAAAAGCAAAATCATCAATCTGGCTGAAGCAGAGAAATTATGTAAAAGCACAGCTGAATACAAGGTTGAAAAGGTAGGACTGAGTCAAGTGTTAGAGGACCTGTTGAAACAAACTCCTTATTTACAGCACTAAGATAGAATTAATCTTCATCTTTACATACTTATTATTATCATGAAATAAGATTGCAGATGTACCCATTAATTTGAATGGGTTTATGCTTCTGAGCTAAGGAAAACAGTCTAGGACAGTACCTAGTACAAATATGATTAAATGCTGGAGCTGAATCCAAATAACTCATTTTTTTCTATCTCTAGATAACCACTGACTTATGTCCAAAAAGACTAGGAGGGAAAATACCTGAACCTACATCCATACTACCGAAACTTCATGCCAGTTATTCAATTAAGGGAGAAGTAGATAGAACTCACAAATCTTTTCCACTGGATGATGGGGAGAGAGGCTTGAACAAGAGGGAATAATTACAAAGCCCCAATGTCAGAAAAATTCTCCTTGTGTTGTCAAGACTTGTTTTTTTTTAAAAAAAGGCTACGGTTGGACTTTTTTTTTCAATGTAGCTTTATCTTTAATGCCATCCTTTAAAATCCAGGTTAGAATTTGGGAAAATGTTCCATTAGACCACCACTGTCCTAAAGATATTGGTAAGAAATTAAAATCCCAAACATCTACATGATTCAAAACTACCATTTTACCCTTAGAGACCCAAGTCCCACCCATCTAGTGAAAAAAAGATGTACTAGATTTCACAAGTGTTACTTGATAATAACCGCTCTATTGACGCTCTATCAACCTCTGGGTAAGACTGAGTGGGCAGCCTGCCATGTGCCCTCCCTTTCCCCTACTTCACCACAGCAGCACCCCTCCCCCTAAAAAAAAGAGAAAAAAGTATATGGAGAAGGAAGTTATGGCAGCTCCATTTCCTAAGTCTTCAAACCATCAAAAGCTGTGAAGACATAAAAAGAACAAATCCACAAAAGTGGGAAGTAGACTGAGAGGGTACTGTGAAACCAAGCAAATTCTCCACATAGTTACATTTGTAAAATTTAAGCTGAAAGGTAACTTCAAATCTACCCCAAAGCTCTCATTTTACCCATCAAGAAACTGAGGCCCAGGGCAGTTAAGTGATTTTCTCTGGGCTACTGCTTCCCTATATAGGTGTTAAATGTCAGTTACTAGTCACAGTAGCACTTAATCTCTAGTTCACTTCAGTTACTTAAATGTTTACGACATTAAGCACCTGCCTTGCAAAAAACACAATCTCCACCTCTTCTGCACTACCCCCCCAATCACCAAGTAAGTGCCTTGCCTCAGAGATATACAGAATGCTAGATGAATCTCAAATGAATACTGTTTTCCCCTTCAGCCACAACTGTCAAAAAATTTATCTTCTTCCTTTATCTACTTTTAAATAAAGAAGAAGCCTGAAAGTGCCTGAATTTCTCAAGGTCTGACTAAACAAGTGGATCAACAAAACCTCAAAATTTGGGGTAGAATATTAAGTCAAGCAATATATATTACTGCTTTGCCAGTTGCCCTTTTCCTTTGTATTAACGTTTCAATCTAGGTTTTCTGAAAAGTAATTAATGTACACGCACAGTTAACCCAAATTATCATCACTTCCGAGACATTTCAATATACAATTTAGCATCTCCTCTCTCTTAAAAATAATTTAAAGGTATCCTGCCTACTACGAGTTAATATTCTTTTGAAAAAAACATCTAAAATTACCCTCTACCAAGCCACATATATCTAAATCACAAAATGAGAAACGTAGTAAGTAAAATTCCCACCAGTTAAAAAGCACTTAGAGTACCATCAGTCTTCCCTGGCTCACTGCTAACCGTCAAACCGTCAAAGCATTTGTTGAGAACCTGGGGGAAAAGTTCTGCACCGAGTTCTCTGGCTGTGGGTGCATCAGATTATACCACCACCCCCACATAACGCCAGTCTGGGGAAATGCAAACATGCCACATGTACATGTTTTAATCATGTTTAACCACGTCTGACCACGGTGGGTATTAAATCAGTTCTCGTAGCAAAGGTAAAAGAAAAAGCAGCACTGTGCATGCATCTTACCCCACTTAACACACCATTACCAGATGAACCGAGGAGAATTAAACCGTTTTGAACGTTAAGGCCGCTGTACAAAGCGGTTTGAAAGGGTTCTCTGCTTTTCTGAAATGCCGGGCAAAAGTCCCTTGGCAAGTTTCAAAACTAATGGCCATAATACTACTGCACAAATAACAAAAACTAAATACGAACTACCATGCCGTCAACCCGTTCACGTTACCACTGCCCAAAAGGCTTTTTTAAAACAAGCATCGAAAAGGGAACAATAAAAAGTGTCTCACCGCAAACACAGCACGAGAGGGACTGTCGGAAGTAAGGCAAGAGCCTGTTAATCTCAGTAAACGCCTTGGGGTCTCCGGGGTCGTAGTTGAGCACTAGGCGGCTCGCGGAAATGTAGAGAGCAGTAGCATTCACGGGGTTCATTGCAGACACTTCGACACCAATGGCTCCCGGTTGAAAAGAAATTCCGGATCCAACTTTGTAAGCAGTCAGGGAACAATGACGAATTTGCAACAATTCGGAAGAAATCAGAGCAGAACCATTGGCCAAAGTAACCAAAATCCGTGCAAGTTTGTGGAGCTGAAGCAATCCTCCCACACATGGGGCCTTGGCGCCCCTCCTCCGTCCCTGAGACTTTCAGACGAAAAAAGAGAGAAGAGAGAGACACCAGCGTTCGAGTTCGTCCGGAGCGTCCACAGAGCGCAGAACGCGGCGGGTTGGGCGCTCGGGGCGGGACTCGGCTCTCAGTCTAGCCCCAAGGCTCGGCGGGCGGCCTTCGCTCGAGCTGCATCTCCGAACCTGGAGGCACCTCCTCTGGTCGAGCTGGCGGGCGCGGGAGCAGGCCCCAGCCCGGTCCCAGGGGCGGCACGCTTCTTACAGGCTGCAGGGCCTCTTACTCCATCACAGCGCCCGGCGAGGAGGCAGCGGCGACAGCAAGGACGACGGCTCGGGCGTCGGCTTCCCCGACCTAGTGCAAGACGCCGCGGCGGCGAAGGTTGCTGTTGCGGCTGGCTAAGGCCGCCGCCGCTCTCTCCATGTCGGACGCGGGGCCCAGACTGCGCTCTGGCTCTCCGCCCCGGCGGCTGCAGCCCGCTGTTCCCTGAGGTGGCGAGGCGGGCAGGAGAGTCCCTCACCCGAGAGGGGAGGGCTGGGGAGGAAGTGCGCGGGCCGCCGCCGGCGAGCGGGAGGGGGCGGGGAGCAGGCCCGGCCGGGCCGCGGCGGCGCCCCTAGCTCCTCAGTCGCACACTCCGGGGTCACCAGACGCAAGCGCCGCCCCCTCACTGCCCGGCCATCTTTTCGGCGCCGCACAACACAGACAACTCCTCCGGCAAGCACGACGGCCACCGCCTGCAGCTCCCGCCCGGCCGCGGCTAAAGCGAGCGCTCACACCGCCAGGCCCCGCCGCCGCCCAGCGCATACAGCAAGGCCCCGCCGCAGGCCCCTCCCCCGTGCTTCTCCGCCCTCACCCCGACTCCACGCGCCACTCTGGCTCGGTAGGGCCCAGGCTGCTGCGGCCTTAATGGATCCCGCGGGCTGTGCAGCACCTCAGGCCCTGCTGGCGACGACGACCGTTACCCCAACGGGCAAAGCCACTGTCATCCCCGAGACTCCCCCGCCACCGTCGTCGCTAGCGCTCGCACGCATGCGCAGACCACAATCTCACCCCTCCCCCCGCCCTTTCCTTTCCCTTCGCTTCCCTTTTCCCCTGCTTCTCCTCTAAGAGCCCCTCCACGGCCTCCCAGAGCTACCGGCTCACTCCGCGCATGCGCATTTCACCACCCGGCTCCACCGCCTTTCGCCCTTACGCGTGCGCTTTGACCGCCCACCCAGAAAACCGGATAAACACATCAGCTCGCTCGCGCCAGCCCCTCCCGGCTGCCAACCCACCCTGGGCTCACTGCGCATGCCTGGCTCTCCACTTACGGCTCTCAGAACGGAGCATGCTCTCTGCGAGCGATAGCTTTCGCCGCCCCTCCCCCATGTGCTCTCAAATTCCCTTTCCTAGGCGTGTGGGCTGTGGTGAAACATTCGTTAGTTGGCACATCCTTCCCTAGTGTAGGTTGTAGGCTTCCCGCATTACACTGCCTCTATGCCCGCCAACGCTAAGGCCCAGCTTGGTCGCGCCATGTGGCGCACCGCACTGGCTTCAACGCGGCCTCTCCCAGTCCTGACTGATCGCTGTGTGAGGAAATAGCCTCTCACGGCCCCAAGCCCCGCCCTCGCGGCCTTCGTTCTGCAACGGCGCATCCGGACCACCGAAAGGGCGCTGCCTCGGCGCCTGGCTCTCGCCAGCCGGGCAGGCATGCAGCAGTCAACGTGGCTGCGCGCCCAGCAGGCGTGCGGGCGGTGTCTCCCTGCTGTCGTCGGCAGTCCGAGGTCTGTAAGGCCCTGGCAGGCGCTCTGTAAGCGGTGGGGCTCGAACCCACCGTCCCTCTCCAACCCGTCAGGGCCTGGCTGTTCCCACGGCCTCTGCCCTTGCGGTCTGACCGACACCAGCGCCGCGGATCAGGCCCCGCGGAGCTTGCACGGGAATAGAGTCCAGTCTTTAAAACAAAACGAACTCATTTTTTTGTTTGTTTTAGCTTTTTTGAAAGACTCGGCCCTTCTATGTGAACACATGTCTTGAAGAATGCATGGCCTTGCTCTAGAACGATCCCGAGTTCTTTAAAGTGTCTGTTTTTTAAAACAAGCTTTTGCCTTGTTTTTTCAGGAGACCAAGGGCACTGAGATATAAATAAACAAAAGCCTAACTTAGATGATTCCCCTCCCCTCTCGAAGTACAGAACCTTTTTCGAGTAGCACAAATAGAAACAGACCGTAGGAACCATTTCAAATCTCTGGACACACCAAAACTCTTCAGCATAATTTTTTGCACATAGATGAGTCTGCAGATGTTTGCAAAGTGAAATTTATGGTGTAAATTTTGTGGCGTATGTTATGTATATATACACATAGGCATGTATATGCCATATGTAAATGGGGTGCATGTTAGTTTTTAGGGGCTTGCCACTTGGAGTAGAAATGAAAAGAGAATCCATGCAACCTCTGATACATAGTTTCTATTACCATTTGAAGGCAGGTTTTTTTTTTATAAGGCCTAGCATATTATCATCACTTAAGTATTAAGCAAATAGGAGCCCAGCTTCCTGATTTTGTTTAGCAGCAAAGCAGAAATTAACCAAAGCTGTGCAAAATGTATTTGGTAGACTTGTATGTGGAAAACGAAGGATACTCTAAAATTCATTCTCATTTTTAAAAGCTCCATCTGCCAACTTTTTTGTATGAGATCTTTTCTAAGCTCACCTTCAGATGAAACTGTTATACAGTTCTATTTTTATTCCAGACTCCAAGGTCTTTTCCCACAACACACAGGTTGTTCTCCCCCAGAGAAGCAGCACGGAGAGTAAAATAATCAGCACCGTTTTCCATTCAGGCAGCATAAATTACCAGTCACCCAGGCAAGTGATTACTTGCAGGGTATTAACCTTGCTGATTTTCTCAGAACTGGGTTTTTAAAAATCTCTTGAGATGTGCCACCCCAAATTGATTCTATTGATGGCTCATTGGTGTGTGTAGGTGGGGGGATAGAGAGAGAAAGTTAAACCAATTCTTTTTTAGCTTCTGAAATTGGTTGCAACTGGTGTCATATTACCGTAAAGGCAAAGCGTCTTGAAGTATATTCCTTTCTAATAATTACTGGCTTGCTTGAGCCTTGTCTAACAACGAAACAAATGAATTGTTTATAGAAAATAAAGTACTTAGATCAAATATTTAGGAAAAATCATGTAATTCAAATTTCTTAAACTATCAACTTAAGATAATTTTTTCACATTTTATGTTAACTATTGTTTGGAAGTAAGAGTTGTTAGGGTTATCAGAGCTAACAAAAATACAGGATGAAGCTGGCACAATGGCTCACACCTGTAATCTAAGCACTTTGAGAGGCCGAAGCAGGAGGTATTGCTTGAGGCTAGAAGTTTCAGACCAGCCTGAGCCACATAGCAAGACCCCTGATCCTACAAAAAAATAGAAAAAAATTAGCTGGGTGTGGTGGCACATTGCCTGTAGTCCCAGCTACTCCGGAGGCTGAAGTAGGAGGTTCACTTGAGCTTAGGAGTTTGAGGTTGAGGTTGCTATGATTGTGCCACTACACTCTAGCCTGGGTGACAGAGTGAGATCCTGTCTCAAAAAAAAAAGGATGCCAGTTAAAAATTGTTTAATAAACTTTTTAATTTAGAACAGTTTTGGATTTACATAATTACTCCACAGTTAGTTCTTGTATACCTTATACCCAATTTCTTATTAACATCTTACATTATTATGGTACATACGTCACAATTAATGAATCAATGGTAATACATTATTATTAACTAAAATCCATACTTCATTCAGATTTCTTCAGTCTTTCCCTAACGTCCTCTTCCTGTTCTAGGATACCATCCAGGATACCACATTACATTTAGTCATCGTGTCTTCTTAGGCTCCTCTTGATGCCCAGTTAAATTTTCATCCTAAACAACAAATAATTTTTTTAGTATAGATATTTGTATGCAAAATTTGGAAGTAGTCATATCAAAATAATTATTCATTGTTTATCTAAAATTTAAATTTAACTGAGCATTCTGCATTTTATCTGGCAATCTAAGCATGTATACTTTCACTATAACCTAACATTGTTTTCAGCCTTGCCTTAGAAACCCTTGAAAATGAGGTTCTTTTTATTTCATCAACATGTATGTACTGAGCCTCTGCTCTAGCAAAGTCCTGTGCCAGACACAGGGAAAGAGGGATAAGACAGTCTCTGCTTTTAAGGTTCTAAGCCTAAGAAGACTAGAGGTCCTTTCTTGCTCTTTCTTGTATCATAGAGAACTCAGCACAATGCTCTGGACTCATTTAGTTCAAGGGTCACCATTTGAAGGAAGAGAAAACTAGCCTGTTAATGGGTGTTTAAATTGGTAGATTATTTTTCCAACAGGCAATTGGCAATATTAAAAGCTTGTAAAATTTGCAGAGCCTCAAAACCAGCAGTTCCATTGCTAGCAATTTATCCTAAGTTGGAGGTTCTCAAACTTTCTTGGTTCATGGTAACTTTAGTGTGTCAGTAATTTTTTTCACAGCACCCTTAGGCCAAAAGAAATATGAAACAGTTTTTTAAGTAGTTAGGTCCAAACAACTTCATGAGTATTTATGCCCTAATTTAGTAGCTATTTGAAAAGGCAATTCACATACATTTAAAAAATAAATATTTTTATTTCATTCTGAAATAACTATAATTCCTTACTAATAGGATATGTGCACCTCTTAGTTATGGCACAATTTCTCAAACCTTAGAATCAGATTGGACATCACCATCCTCATTTCCCAGTAACACTGACTTTTGCGCAATGCTTACTTTTATCACAGCACCAGCAAAAACCCAGCTTTGCAAAGATATGACCTCATTGAAAGGAATGTATAGTGATCTACTGTTGAAACTGTGAACTACCTGGAGCTAGCAATTTCCACAGTGTCCAACATATGTCACATACTGCTATTTTTCCTTCAAGGTTGAAATATCCTGCATCTTCCTTGTGAGTTCTCTGTGGTAGTGTGGAGGCACCTTGGCACACTGTTTGGGAACCACAGTAATTTAGGACTATGAAAAGAATTTCACAGAAGAATAGTCACTGCAGTTGTTTATACTATAAAAAAATAGATCCAATCTAAATTCCAAATTGAAAACAACCTACATTATGGTACATCTGCATAGTAGAATATTATTTAGCTATTAAAAATGATATAAAAATGTATTCTTGGCATGGAAAGATATTCATAATATATTAATTTTTTAAAATCCTGATGAATAGAACCATTTTGGAAAAATTAAATATCTATGCATGATAAAAAGACTGTAAAGATATATGCCAAAATATTATTTCTTTCTGGATAATGGGATTATGGAAAATACTTGTTTTTCTTATTTTCTATGTACCCATTTTGAATTAAAGCTTCCCTCTTCTGTTCTCCAAGATTGTCAAGTGCTTACCTCTTTTGTTGCTCTTACCACACTATGCTGCAGTTGTCGGTTTAGCCCTGTCTTCTCCCCATTTTACTTCTATAACTTTAGAAGGTGAGAGTTTTCTCCCTCTTCATCTTTTATTCTTATTGCCTTGCATAGGGTCTGACATATAATGGGAATTCAGTAATTGTTAAAATAATGATTACTAGAAATGTGACAACGTAAGTGAAGCCACCAGTACAGTGTGTGGTGTGCGTAACAGGCATGGACAAATGTTTGCTTCTTCCTTGGGGAGAGATATAAAATGCATAACAAATTTAAAGACAGTTCTTGCTTCAGCTTGATCAATGTCAATTGATCCTTAATAAAACCTAAAGTGTGGATTGATTTGAAACACTCAGAATATCAATCAACAAGTATTTATTGATTGCACCCTAGCACTTTGGGGACAATGAAGTAAATGCAGAAATAGTTGTGGTTAAGCTTTCAGAGAACAAAGATCAGGCTAGCAGTAAGACAGAGGGACTTTCTAAGGGGTTAGGTCCTTTGCAAAATTATGAAATAGCTAAAGTTTGCCTTCCTTTCTTCT